AAACACTGAGTTGAGAACATGTCCTCTGAAAACTACGTCTAAAATATCCCATGTGTTTCTAAGAGAATAAAACTTTAAAAAATAACAGTTGTTTTAAAACTTCTTTAGGACAAATTATCAGACATTTAACATTTTAACATTCCATTATTATCTAGCCTTGAATTCTGGAAACATTAAGACATAAAGGCCATCAAAATTAATGAAATTATTCACAGAAGAGATCTACTGTTTGGGAAATGGTCTGTATTTTCAGTTGTGGTGATATACACACCAAGTTACAGCTGTTGATGTAAATAGAATTTCTGAACTTGGTTCTGTCTAGTAAACACCCCAAGCCTGAAGCAGCATAGATTTTGAACACATCTAAACCACACAACTCCAGCTGCTCCACCCCAACACATGCATAAGCAATCACACTCCTCAAGCAACCCCAGCTTTTGGGAAGTTACACAACTAAAGCCAGACCAAACTCCCAAATGAAATCAATAGCAGAACTCCCCTACTTGCTTAAGTGCAACTGAATCCAGCCTAGTACACACAAGAGCAGAGGATCTGTCCAGACCCCATGAAAGGAGTAATTGCAGTGCTGACACCCAACACTGATAGCTTCAACTCCTCATTGCTACCAGTCGGCTTCCCACTTCTATCAGACACTTAAAAAGAAAACTATATTAGCAGTAAAACTAAAAACGTACTCTCCAAGTAGAGATGAGGGTGTCAACATATGCAGAGATATTAGTATATTATCTCGTATTATCAATATTTATACAGATAACAGTAAATATTAAATTATTATGACTATTTATACAATAAACACCAAAGCAAGGAGCACCACCATCATCAAGAAGGGCAAAGGCAACACAAACAAGTTGAGAGAAAGAGCAACTAACCATGTAACATGCTAAGTGGGACAGTCTCTCATGAGGAAACACCTATTGAATGCAATAGAGAACTACAAAGCAACATGAGAAAACCAGAAAACAATTAAGTCAGCAGGGGGCTTCAAAATGCATTCTCAGAAGAAAAGGCATCACAGTTACACTTAGCTTTATGTGGAGACAGCTGGAGGACAGAAGGGGAGGTCAAATAAGAAAAAAAGTATCCCAAAACAGAGTTTAAAAATAGTCTTGGAAGAAGAGATGGTCCCACTTCCAGTTACAGTGAAAAAAAAAAAACAACCCACCAACAAGAAATGCAGCACAACGGTATTCAAGAAGCAAGGCTCAGTGCTGCTCAAGAGCTGAGAGGAAGAGGAGAGGCAGGACAGAGACTGAGGACATTGCACCAATCCCACCCAATCCCACTGCCAAGCAACTGCAGACCCTTCCCACTCCCTGCTGACTGAGCGCAGTCCCAGAGCACAGATCAGCACTTTGCATGAGGTGTCCCATTCCTGCACAACTGCGCACATACACCAAATGCAGCAACTCCTGAACTGCCTTCAAAAGACACACTGAGCTCCCAATCAGTACAAACATTAACCTCAACAACTGCCAAAAAAGAAAATAAATATCTCCCTATTTTTTAGCGGCTAAAAGATGTAGGAAGAAGAATTAGCACAGCTATATATCTGACCACCATGACAGATACAAGCAGAATTCCAGATTTTCTGGCTTCTGTTTCAATACTTCAATCACCACTGACCTACATTATCTTATCACCTGCTTCTAATTTCCTCACTATTTCAATCTATGAGGTACTCTGGCTATTTTACTTCCTGTTCACTTTCCTGCAGAGTTAAACTTTAAATAACAATAAAAGAGACACTAGATTGTCACCAAAAAAACCCCAAAAACCCTACACCCTTCTATGTCCTAGCTAATGCCAGAGGAAAGACAAGATGCCACATTTTTACATTCATTGATATGAACTTTACAACAGGCTACATAACTTCAGCAATGCCCTAGGAAGTTATAATCTTTTATTTCACTTGTAGCATTTCTGTCAAATAGCAGATATAGGCTGCAGTAATACCTGTGATACCAGCATTCACTTGTACTCACATTACTACAGCTCTGTTTTTTGAGCTACAGCCTCATCATATGTTTAATTAACTCCAAAACTCCTCCAGTGAAATAATGCTCCTACTATGGCAGAATAGACCCTTTCTCCAAAGAACTGCTGAGTATGATCTAGAACAAATTAATCACCTGCATTCAGAAGAAGCTGCTCTATCATTAAAAAATGCAATGAGATCAAACAACCCATCACCTGCAGTTACACAGGGCCAGTTCACAAACACAAATATTCACCCTGCAGAGGCGTAAGCAGCTTTACTGGGTGCCATCACTTTTAGCAGCAGTAAAGATTCCCGTGAGCCCGCACACTTGGGAAGCTGACGTTCCAGCCCTGAACTGCACCACCCAGGGTGAGAACAGCCAGCCTGCACTCCTGTGCCACCGTGCACAACCTGCTCACACCACGGCCTGACACACTCGCCAATCTCACTGCACAGCCACTGCGAAGCGCTGCACACCAAGAATCAGAACATTTCTGCTGTCCCTTAATCTCTCACAGGACACCACAAAGGTACTACAGCATCTTTCCATCTCTACCATGCCACCTTCAGGAAAACAGATCAGCAGTTACAGGAGCAGAAAAGAAAAACATCCAAAAAGGAAGAAAATAAAAGCTTTTTTTAATCATAAAAAGAGGAAATCGGAAAGTTATCTTACATACTGGAAACACAAAAGCTGGATCCCTTCATAAAACAATTACCCAAGACTTACTTTTCACTTCTCAAGAAACAGAAATTTAAATACCTTTCCTCTCCTTCTCCCAGCACAGAAGACTGAAAGGGCTCACAATAACCTTCTCTGAAAAAACCCACAAAGTCTCCTGCCTTCATTCAGCTCTCAAGTACCCAACAAGTTTTCAAATCCTGTCCCAAACACCAGAGAGCACACAAGTAAACAGAAGAAAGAATTTGGCAACAGAATATGATATGCAAACAAACAAAGGAAAAAAAATACCAAGTGTAGTTTACAGGAGTGGTAGCAGGGAAATGGGTACAGAAAGCTGTTGTGGTCTACCACACAGAAGTGAATCACAATAAAAAAAATGGGGAAATAAAACAGCACAAATTTCTCTGTCATTTTAGATGTAGGATGCTAGGAGAATCCCTTAAGGATTCCCCTGCATTTATAGAGGAAAACACACATATATTTTACAGTCTAAGCCACTATGGTGCAAACACTTTTTGACCACACATGACACTTTTATTTTTTCAAAGATGTTCCACTGGGATTCTGTGCTGTCCCGTTAATATTTCAAGCATCAGAAACTGAAATTTTTCACTCAACATTTTTACACATCACTTTCAACACAATAAAACACACACCTGTTCCACCCGTTAACTTTAAAAACAATGTCTACTATAAAATAAATTACAACTTAACCTATAGCTGGTGCGAGAACTCAACCAGCCTTGAAGAAGGGACTTGAAGGCGCCCTTACAGACAGCAGCTCACTGCAAATACACTCAGCCAGACCGAACATCTCCTGCTTCCATTAAAACCCACGGACGGTAAGCAATGCAGACGCTGTAATACTCGGACCGCTTGTGCAGCCTAGGCAATAAGACACCGAGGGAAGGACGGGCACAAGTCCCGACTTCTCCCAAGACGGCACCGGGGCACATCACGAAGCAGCTGCTCAGGTACGCGCTCCCGCTGCCCCCGAGCTCCGGGCACGGGGGCCGAGGCAGAACCCGCACCGCAAAGAACGGCCCGGGCAGGCACGGACCGCTCCCGGCGCCCGAGCAGGAGGCCCCGGGGCGCAGGGCAGAGTTCGAAGCGGGCCGGACAGCCGCGCAGAGGCAGCAGCGCCGACAGAGGCGGCGAGAGGGCAAGGGGCGGCCTCGCGGACAGGGCGGCCGAGGCCCAGCCGCGGAGTTCGGGGCGGACAGAGGCCCCAAGAGCCGCGGGGCCCCAGGCGGCGGGACCTGGAGGTCAGGGAATGCCCGGCGTGGGCAGCGGAGGCCCGAGTCGGTCCCACTCACCAGGCCGGTCCCTGCAGCAGCAGCGGCGGACGGAGCCGGGCATTCAAAATGGCGGCGGCGCCGCCGCAGCACCGATACCGCAGGCGGAGGGATCCGCGCGCCGGCTCGCCCCCCGCGACCCCGCAGGCGCTCCCGACCGCGGGTGGGAGCGCGGCCGCGCCGGATTCGGCGGGAACGGGGCGGGGATGGGGAGAGCGCGGCGCAGCACCACCGGTGGCGGAACGGAAAATGCCGCTTGCACTACTTTTCCTGGCGGAAGCGCCCGTGAGGTTGGTCTTGGACGGAAAGGTGCGTCTGCACCGTGGCAGTCCCTGATGACGTCACGCGCGGGCCGGTCCCGGCAGCGCGCTCCCCACGGCGGGGCCGGGCGGGACCCGTGGCCCGTGTCCGCCGTTCCGCGATCGAGGGTTCCGAGGCCGGAGGGGCGCAGCCGCTCCGAGCCCGCCGAATCTCGCGCTGTTTAAACGCCCACGGGCGACGGGGGGAACGCGGTGTGCCGCAGTAAACGAGGCGTCTCTGGAAGAGGGTTCAGAGCCAGCCCCGCCCCAGGCGGCTGTTCTGTTCCCGCTTCCAGGACCTTATGTCACATTAACGGTCACCGAATGAGGAGGAGCCCGGGCAACAGCACGGACCCGGCCGGACACTGCGGGAGTGCGAGACAGGGCACGGGCACGCTGAGGCCGAAGGCTCCCGCAGGGGAGCCTGGCCACGCTGCCGCTAGGCCCTCGCTGCCGGCCAGCCTCTGAGAGAGTCCGTCAGGGGCGCGGGGCCAACAAAAGCCGCGCGGGGCCCCGCCGGGTGGCTCGCGCGGGGCGGCCGGGCCCGGGCACCTCCCGCAGGCCGGGCCCTCCGAGCCCGGGCGGACGCAGCCGGTTGCCACGGCAACGGCGCAGAGGGTGGCCCGTGACGTCATCCGGGTGCGGCGGAGTCACGACCGCGGAGCAGTTCCGGCGGTCGGTGTGCGCGTCATTGACGTGCGACGCGTCATCGCCGTGCGCCGCGGGTGGGGAGGAGCCGGTGCGGGCGCCGGGCGGGCCCGCGGGGCCGGTCCGGGCCATGGCGGGTGAGCCGCGGGCACCGCGCGTCCCCGCGTCCCGACCCCGGGCCAGGGGCCGTCGCCGTGCCCGCTGCCGGAGCCGGGGGTCGGGCCGGCCGCCGCTCCCGAGGCTCGGACTCACGGCTCCCTCTGTTCCTGGCGCAGGTGAGGCGGCGGCCGGCGGCGCGGATGCAGCAGCCCGCGCGTGGCAGCCCCAGTGGGTGCCCCCATGAGCGAGCGTCGCGGCCGGGGCTGCCGGGACACCGCGCGGCGCCATGAGAGCGGGCCACGAGCGCAGCCAGGAGTGTCTCCCGCCCAAGAAGCGGGAACTTGCCGCCGCCAACACTGGCACCGAGGCGGGACGGGCGGGGGGAGCCCAGGGCTCGGGCGAGGGCCCCGAGTGGGCCCGCACGGCTCGGCCGGCTCCCTCCACGCCGCGCTACGGTCCTGGCGAGACCCCCGAGGCGGCGGCGGGGCTGACGGTGGACCAGTACGGGATGCTCTACAAAGTGCAAGCACCGCCCGCCACCTTCTCCCCCACGGGCCTGCACCCCGTGGTGAACGTGAGCCCCCTGCCCCCCGCCTTCAACGTGACCTCGCCCATCCTCCAGCACCCGGCAGTGCCCTTCCCCTCCATCCACTATGCACAGATCCCGTCGGCCTCCCTGCAGCTCATCGGTTCCCACTACACAGTGCCCTATGCCGTCCCTCCTGCCTTCATGCCTAGTCCTCTCCTGTCTCCTTCCACCAACCTCGCTGCCCCCCACGTCCCCCACTTCGTGCCATACGCCTCCCTCTTCACGGAAGAAGCTGCTCCTTCCCCCCAGACTACCTCTCCCACCCACAGCTTCAACAAATCCACCTCTGCAGCCTCTCCTGGGCAGATGCAGCACCACACTGCGCCCCAGCCAGTGGACATGGCACCGGGGAGAATTCCTGTTTATTATCAGATGTCCCGCTTCCCACCAGGCTACTCAGCCTATGAGGCACCTGCAGCAGGTGGGAGCCCAGAGTCTCCTCAGCAAGACAGCCAGCTGAGCTCAGAGGTGGCTGCGGCCAATGGTGGGCAGAGGCCCCTGGAGCAGAGTGTGGCCAGGAGGCCCAGCGAGGCTGTGGACTCTGCCAGCAGTGCAGCTGAGGACTGTCTGCCCCCAGGGGCTGCAGCAGGATGTGTGGCTGATGGACAGTTCCTTCCAGGTTACCAGATGCTGGGAAGAGAGATCTCTGTGCCTACTCACAGGAGCACCCCAGATGCTGATCTGGAGGTTCAGAGGGTGGTGGGGATGTTGGCATCTCAGGATTATCATGTTCTGGCTGCCCAGAGGAAAGATGACCCAAGCCCTTTGAACCTTTGCCATAATACCCCTGATGGGCAGGGAGATGTGCTGAGGAACACCACAGACGGGGCTGCAGCTGGGAACAGCCAGTCCCGGAGCCCATGCGGAATGTCCCCCCAAGAGACTGTTAGGCAGAGGCAGTTAGCCAAAGGAATGGTGATAGCCAATGGCAAGCCAGTACTTGTTCCCGTGGGATCTGAGCCTGTCAGGTCTTCCACTTCAGAAGCCCTGCTGAGGGAGAGCCCAGATGCCCAGGCTCAAGGAAATGTGCATGAAAAGGAGCTGGCCCAGTTGCAGCCACCCAGCTCCTCACAGCTGCCCTCTCACTTCATGAAAGGAGCCATCATCCAGCTGGCGACGGGAGAGCTGAAGCGGGTGGAGGACCTGCAGACCCAAGACTTTGTTCGCAGTGCAGAGGTGAGTGGAGGCCTGAAGATCGACTCCAGCACTGTGGTGGATATTCAGGAAAGCCAGTGGCCTGGGCTTGTCACACTGCATTTTGTGGTTGGGGAGCAACAAAGTAAAGTGAGCATTGATGTGCCCCCGGAGCATCCCTTCTTTGTGTATGGCCAGGGCTGGTCCTCCTGTAGCCCTGGGAGGACTGCTCAGCTCTTTGCTTTGCCCTGTCACAGGCTGCAGGTGGGGGATGTCTGCATATCGATCAGTTTACAGAGCATGAATGGCAACTCTGCTTCTCAGGCCAACTCCCCTCTCACGGATCAGCTGGTATCTGCTAGGGAGAGCTTGGAACGAACAGCTCAGGGGCCCAGAGAGCCATCTGACAGAGCTGCTGAAAGGAAGAGCCACACAGATAGAAGCAGCACGGTCCAGAGCTCCCGTGCAGAATCTTCTCAGCCTGAGGCTGGCAGTCTGTACAGTTTGGCCCCAGGCTTCCAAAGATACAGCATGCAGGCAGAGGAGCCTCGGCCCTCTCTGCTCCGTCCCTCTTTCATTCCCCAGGAGGTCAAGCTGTCTATTGAAGGGCGTTCGAATGCAGGGAAATGATCCCTTAGAGGTGTGAGCTAGGGCAGTCACAGCAGGTGAGCCTCACCATCAGGTGGAGGAATTGCACAGACTCTGTCATAGGCTCACCAACAAAGGCTGCTCTCTGCCTTGCAGGAATGGCTCCGTTCCAGTTCCACGGCTGACCAGTTCCTCTTGGGGAGTCAGGAGGCCTCCAGTGCCTCAGGGAGTAGCAACAGGCTAGCTGGGGTGGGGAGCAGGGATGTGGTCATGAGTGTGTGATGAGAGCATTCCCGAGGCTGCTGGAGGCTGGGGCTTTCTCCCACCTCCTGGGATAACTGACTCCCTGCGGGGCAGGGGCTGAGCATTCGGGGCAGGTGGGGAGATGAGGAGGGCAGACTTGGCTTAAGGTAGCAGATAAAATTGCTGAAGATTTTATTTCTCCTTTCTCATGATGGGGAGAGATGGGTCCCCACTGGAGTTTAGGGGCTCTGCTCCCAGTATCCCCTTTCTTCACACATGCACTTTAAAAGGACCATTCACCGGTGGAGCTCTCAAGGGCAGGATGGAGGTGCTTCTCTGGTGGTTCTGATTAATGTCTCTTCCACTGAATCCAACTGCTCTTTCTTCTTGCAAAGAATGTACAGATTTGAACGAATCACAGAAATTCAAGAGGAAGGACCAAAAGGATGGGCTTGGGTGCAGGTGAATAGGGAACTTGAGCACTTGAGATGGGACACAAGTTGGGATGGGAGACGTTGTTTCCTGCTATAAAGTCTACTTAGTTGTTTTGCCACCAAATCAAACCTTTCTTCCCATGTTAGTAACTTTCAAAAAAAAACAACAAAAAAAACCCAAAAAACCAAAACCCTCCTGGGCTTATAGCTTTTGCAGAGGCTTAACCTAGGGATGAATGGAGTTGGATTTTTTTGTTTGGTTGAATTTTGGTTTTGGATATTTTATTGGTTTGGTATTTTTTTAAATCTGGAGCAAAATACATTCAGCGTTCTCTAGGGAAGGGTGAAAACATTCTTCTTCTGTGAGAAGACCAATGCTATTTTGTATTAAGTAAAAAAAATGTTCCAGATGGCTAGTTCTTCCCTGAAGGCAGTTTTCCTGAATAAGCTCTAGACAAGAGACAAGTGTTTGTGCACGTGCCGGCAAGGTACAAAGTTTGTGCTAAGTACAATTCTATTATTAATGTACGGACTCTAAAAATATCCCAGTGTCACAGGGCATTTTGGAGTAATTTTGTGTTAGTTTTTCTGATGCTTCGATTCAGAGTTCCTCTGTAGAAAAACATGGTCAAATCAAGAGTAGTCTTTTTCATGGTGAGATTTAATACAATTGTGTATGAACAGCTGATTGTGGTGGTAACACTATTGAGTGAAGTCTCCTGTAGTTACACTAATCTACCCTCTCTGATGGTGTGTTATGACACCATTGCTCAGCTAGGATAAAGAATAGTCACTGTTCTGGTGAAAAAACAGTTTTCACTGACTTAACCTAGATAGGGTATTCCTTGTGTTCAGGTGCCCATCTCTGTGCTAGGACCAGGCTCTGGAGGGGGCCTTTCTTAGTGTGCAGAGTCCTGATGTTCAGCATGCTGTTTCTGTCTCCCTGCTCTCATCTGCCTGAAGTTTGTCAAGTGTGCCTGACTCTTGGGGTGCCACTCCTCTCTGTGACAGAACGGTGTGTGTCAGCACCTCTCCTTGCAGTGGTGCTGTCTCAGGGCTGTTCTGCACTCCCCAGGAGTATGTCCTGTAACTGGTTGGCTTCTGCTGACTGTGAAATGGATGCATGCTCTGCCTGTGTATTAGGCAAGTTAGTCTCCAGAATGTCCCTTCCATCCCAGCCTCAGTCCTGTTTTCCTAGCACATTGCTAGCCATTTCTGTTGCCTTTAAAATGCTTGCACCAGGACAGGGCTTAGGTGAGATGTGTGCTAAACGTGCCCTCAGTGTTTGTGCCTCACAGGGTTCTCCAGAATGAGGATGCTGCCTGTATCACATGTAGCTGCTCCCACATGACACACTACTTCTGGTTTCATCAGCTGCATTTGGGATGTGTGAAGTCACAGTGACACTGTTGTGTGAAGATTCTGCCTCCTCAGGTGCATCAGCTGTGGGAACAGATGCTGTTTTCACAACCCCATTTGTCAGTGAAGTGTCCACCTGGGCCCCTTTGTCACCTGGGCGTGTCACAGCTCCTGCTGACTCGACTCTCCTACATAAAACTCTCTGTTAATGTTGGTAATTAGTACTTAATGCTCAGGATATCTGAGGTGTCTGCCACCAAAGGCAGGAGGCAGAGGAGCCGGGGTTCTCATGCCTGTTCTGTGCAGGGTGCACGCAGAGGGATTCAGGGCTGCGACAGGCACTTGAGAAAGGGATCTCGCAACAGACGGCATGTGAATGTAGAAGGGCTGGTTACACACAGAGGCAGTGTCTGAGCAACTGATGGTGCAGAGCCCCTGGAGTGTCTCTGAACCCCGAAGTCTGTCTTAGAGTGAGGGTTTGGAGGGCTTGCCTTAACACCACGTGTGTAACTGTAACTCCTCGATCTCAGTCACACTGTGGTGTGAATGAGCAGTACTGACAAATGAGGCAAGATGCTGTGTGATTTAAATAGCTTTGTACTGTAGGCAGGTGAAGGGCTGTGAAGGTGCTTGCCCTGTTGTTTACCTGGCTGCTGACCTGGACTTTGGCTTGCTGCACCTCTGTTGGGTGCAGTCCTGAGCTCTGTGGAACAGGCCATGCTGAACTGGACCTTGGTGCTTTTATCCAGACTCCTGTCAGTCCTGCTGTTGTGTGTGTTTCAGCTGCCAGCTTTTCCCTGGAAGCAGTGGTTTGAAGCACAGCTCATGATGGGGGACTGAGATGAAGAATCTGTGTCTGGCTGTTTGCCTCAAAGGGTGAGCAGGAGAGGATCACTGGCAACTCTCCAGCTCAGCTCAGCAGTACTGGTATCACAGGAACCTGTCCTTACTGCACAGGGCTGTATGGCTTAACACCATAGTGGTGGCTGTGCTGAGCACTGAGGCTCTCCTGGGACAGGGAGTGTGAGGCAGGCTCTGCTGCAGTGAGAAAGGCTGTGAATGAGCCTGTGGAGGAGGCTTTTATTTCTCGGGTTTACAGGGAAAGGAGGAGATAAAGCCAGGAAGACATTGCAGAGTGGGATGGTTACCTGGGCTTTTCTGCTGGCAGAGATGTGACAGACTTCTCAGAGAAATATACCATGTTCCTGCTGCAGTTGTCTAGGGTAGGAGAGCTGTGGTCTGTCCTGCCTGGAGGAGGCCCTGATCTTATCCAGCTCACACTCTGTAGCAGGAGTCCGTGGGATGCAATAATGGGTGTCTGTAGCCATCTGTCCCATCCCATGGAACATGCCTTGGGTTAGCTGCACAGCAGAGCCAAGCCTGTCTCTGGGCTGTGCATTCACAGCAATGAGCGCTCATCACTACCAGACTATGCAGAGGAAGCTCTGTCTGGAAGGGAAGGAAGCTGCAGAGGCCCCTCTGCCTTCCCCTTCCAGCTGCTGAGCAGCTTTTTATATTGCACTTTTCACATTGTGTCCCTGTCCCCACCCCACATTTCAAGTCACTTTGTCCCATAGAGAACTAACAATCCTTGTTACTCAGAAAACATTGTAAAAGAAACTACAGCAGCTGGAGTATCCCAAATGCTAGTTCCTGCCCGCAGCAGCACACGTGCCTTCCCCAGCGTCACTCACAACTGCTCCCCGTCTTTTCAAGCTGTGCTAGAGCCTGACACTTGTCAGAAGCTACTAAGACAGCTACAAATACACATCCTGTACAGTTTGGCCCAGGGTGTTCCATATAGTTGAAAATGGTGATGGTCCAGGCCCTTCCACAGCCTTCTCACTGTCTGTCAAGGACAGAATTGCCCCACGGGTCCTGGGCTGCTGCCGCCCACCCTGCCAACATGCCCCTGGCACACTCGAGTTGTTTTGGGCTTTCATGGCACCTTAGCGCCAGGGAGGGTGTGCTCAGAGAGAGAGAGACATGGGGGAGCTGGCTGGGCTGCCCTGAGGCAGAGAGATGTTTGTAGATAAGTGCTGACCCCTCACTATAACCCCCAGTATATGGCTGTATTAACATGTAACCGATGCAGTGTATCTAAAGCCTTAGAACTAGTCAGGTGCTCCCCTCCAACTTTGTCCCTGCCCCTTTCCTCCTACCTGATCTTTAACAAAGCATTAATAATTCTAAGGATAATCTCTATTTTGTTGTGCTTTTTTTGTAACTGTTTTAAATAAATCAATTTGTACTGTATATTTGTACTTTGGTGAGATCCTTTTTCCTGTTTTACCATTTTAAGTCTGTACTTGCCTACAAACAGATTGTATTTTTATTGTTAATGCTTTTATGAATATTGCATTTAACTTGTTGACTCTGTAAACAGTATATATCTATATACATATATCTATATCTATATATAAACCAATAGCTTTTCCTTTGGTGTTTGAGACTTTTTGCTTGTCTACAGTATCAGTGGTTATTAGCATGTGGCTTCTCTGGATTTACAGTGATCTGGAGACTCATGTCAAGGGCAAGATAAAGGGTGACAGATGGATTATAAGTCATAATTCTGTGTTTTCAGATCTTTTGTGTTATGTGGTCTCTCCTGAACCCCTTGGAATAAAGATAAGGTGTCAGTGACATACAGGGAAAGTTCCAGCAGCAGGTTGCAGAGTAAAGGTACATCTCTGCTGGGCAAGCAAAACATGAGGCAGAGCAAAAGCAGATACTGCCAGGAGCAAACTGGGGGTTTGAGTATGAAAACGAACACAAGTAAGGATAAAAGTGAGAGATCAGAGAACAAAGGAGGATATGAACAAAGGAACATGGAACTGAACAGCTCCTTTACAGTGCCTTTTCCCAAAGAGAGAGAAGCAGGGATGGCTCCTGGGTGTCAGTTCTACATGACAAATGAACATCATGTTAAAACAGCTTACAGGGAGGAAACTAGATGTTGCAGTGGCAGGAGGAGAAAACTTGCACTGAAGAGGTTCAATGCTGTTTCCTAGCAGCATCCCCAGGGCTGACTGTGAGAGTGGTTCATTATTGCCAGTAAAATGCAACATTATGCATTTTGAAGGTAACTGTTTTAACTAGGGCTTTAAGGGGCTGCAATCAAATGTTTTTCAAACTGAAAAATGAGGAGGAAATGAGGGTTTTAAGAAGTCTGATCAAAAGGTTTTGCTTCTTGTTTTAACTTTACTCTTCTGATCTCGAGTAGCAGTCATGTGGTCACCATTTCTGACTTAAAGAGAAACAGCCATCAGAGAGAAGACAGTACTTCCCAAGGTGTTTGATCCACTGTATGACTCTAGACCTCAACTGGAAATGCTATGAGGGCAGTAGGGGTTTTCAAGCTGCAAAACACTGAAGTGTGGCACACTGGCTTTTGGTGGGCTGATGTCTCAAAACCACGGAGCTAACACCATGCATTTTCAGGTGCTCATTCTTAAAGAAGCCAAAAACGGAGAGTGTACCACTTCTTTGCTCTGCCATGAATCCTTCTGTGCCACTGCTTTGCCTTTTGCAGTTTAAAGATGCCTAGATACCATTTCCATAGTTGCATAGTTTTAATAGTGATTTCTATTAGAACAGGAACCTTTTCCTGGAGGCACAGGCTACGATGACATTTTGCCTCCAGTACGTCTCTGTTGCTCTTGCACTGGGGACTCCAGCACTGGCCACAGGTCTCCAGATGTGGCCTCACCAGTGCTGAATAAAGGGAAAAGCAAACCCATAAAGTCCTAGAAACGGACCTACTCTATTATTTACCATTCAATCAACTCTTTCACTTGCAAACCTGAAATGCTGTTTAAGTGAAAATAACTTGTGAGTAAAGCAGCAAACTTGTTTGCTATTTGTTCACCTTGGCCAGCATTTCTTTCACTGTTTTTATGGGGTATCTTAAAACATGGCCTCAGGTTCCTTAGTTTTTCCATGGATGCCATTGCAACTAAATATGTAATGACAATGTTTAAAAAAAGGAGTGTGCACAGGCATTTCCAGATGGACATCCTCCCTTGTTTCCTTTTTACGGGCAGAAACTGCAAAGGATTTACTCCTGGAGGACTTTGTGGACTGTCTTCAGCTCTGTAATTCATGCTGCAGTAAACAAGATCCCTTTTTATTGAGGTGGATTTCACCTACAGCAGAACTGCAGTAGCCTAGACCCATTTATAGGGCAAGGGCCCAAAACCAGGACAAAGCACAAAAGGTAAAGAAGGGGACTAATACATGTGAACATTAATTAATGTTAATTAATACATTAATTTATTTTCATTCTGTCACAGGCTGTGACTTGGCCCCCAGAGCAGACTGTATCCTCAGAATCTGCTCCCACCAGAGCTGCTTTGGCAGGCATCTCTCAGCTCAGTTCTCCTCTTGGGTTCAGAGGAAAACCAGAACCACCTGTCAGGGAGGGTCAAGCAGGGACCTGCAGCAGCCTCCTGAGTGCCAAAGCCTGCTAGTGCACATGTGGCAGGTGCAGCAAAGGCAGCACAGTTCTTGGCTGTGGTTCAGTGCAACGCACTGTTGCTCTGCTCCTCAAAGGTCATTTTGCCCAGCAGCTGGCTCTCCAGCTCCACATTGCTCACTGGCAGCTGAAAGAAGTTCATCTCAGCTGCCAAAGCAGCCATGGCAGAGGGGTCCTGGCCGAACTGTGCCCGGAGCATCATATCCATTTTCTCCAGGCGCCGCTTGAGCCTCTTGGCTTCCCGCTCGCGGATGAGCCGGGCTTGTCGCTTCTCGGGGGTCTCGTTGGCGCGTTTCAGGCGCATGGCTTCCCGGTCCCTCTGCAGCCGCCGTGCCCGCTGCTCATCTGTCTCCTGCATGCGCTGCAGCCGCTTGGCCTCCCGATCCCGCATGCGCCTCACTTCGCGCTCCTCAGGTGTCTCATTGTCCCGCCGGCTCTTCTTGGCTGTGCGCTCCCGCTCCAGGCGCTGCAGCCGCACTTCCAGGGGCTCGTTCTGGCGCCGCAGGGCCCACTTGCGCATGCCAGGGGTCTGTGCCTCAAGCAGCTTGCGGTACGCAGCGCAGTTGTTGCACACCAGGAGGATGCCCGCAGGATACACAGGGGTGCAGAAGGCAACATCCTTACCCTCAGCGCTGGAGGGGCCCTGGCTCTGTGGTGCCGGCAGCCGATCCGCACTGAGCACCTCTGGCAGCTTCTCACTGCAAAGCAGGAGGAACAGTCAGAGGCTTGGTGCTGTAGGCAGAGTCCCCATGGGTTGCCATGAACAATGCTCCCACTACAGCCCATGGCAGAGCCCTCTGCTAAATCATTTGCCCACAGATACGTCTGAGTATCTAAAATAAAGCACACTCCTATCCACAGCAATGAAGTGGATTAGCCCAGAGCAGTATCTGGGTTGGAAGAGTGCAAGAGTGGGAATAAACCAGCAAGCTGCTCCTCCCCATCATCTCTGAATTTCTCTTTTTAGCCCCATTCCACTGGTCAGTGGATAATCTCCCACCAGGCAGGACACAAAGAAAGAACATTTTGGTCTCTGCCTGTAGTCCTGCTCTGGACATGATGAACGCATCTGGATAGTGCAGCCTTACTCCAATGGATTGCTGGACAAGGGAAGGGGTGGATTGTTCTCCAGTGACTGGAGCCCACAGCGCTTTCTCTAGCTCTGCACAGCACTAAGAAAGAACCTTTTACCAGCCCAGCCTGCAGACATCTAGGCAGGGGATGCAGAGCTGCATGCAGGAAGGGATCAAGAGAATCTCACTCACTGGGGTGTTTAGCACTGTCCTACAGGCCTCAGTGGGTCCAGAGCCACAACTTCTGAGTAATTCAAGGCAACCCACCTAATCTTTAATGTGCTGCCCTAGCCCACTCATTGGCCAGGGTGACCCTGACCTGTTGAAGGTGGCGTGGCTGGTGAAGCGTGCTCCACAAACTGCACAGTTGGACAGCTGGTCCTCTGAGTGGATCAGGAGATGTCTCCCAAGGGATCCAGGGGAGCTGAGGGCTCTGCCACACACAGGACACAGGTAGCTCTTGGCACTCACCACCGCTCCAGTGTGCTGCAAAACAACCACTCAGGTGGTAGTTACATATTGCCCAGCTCCCTGCCCAGTCCAAGGCATGCTCAAACCACTCTGTTCAGCCTCTTGGAATGGGAACCCTTTATCACTAAACCTCTGTCTGCCAGCTTTTAGACCAAGCTCAAGACAAGTAATTCATTGTGTCACAGGTAAAACAAGGAGAAGGCGCCTTTATAGCTCAACTCCAGTGCAGGAGAAAAAGTTAAGGCCAAAACACTTGGACTGTAAGACCCAACCCTTGTTTTCAGGAACGCATTTGAGGAATTGCTGGTGCAGGACAAAGCATGACTCAATTAAAGCAAGGCTGGATGCTGATAAAGAAGCACTTACATGGAGACAACTGGTACAGGTAAGTTCTGTTTCATTCCTTCTGCTACAGACTTTGATGTGTTATGAAGAAAGCACTGACAACAAAACCTAAGATTTCACCACAGATTTCTTGCAAAACTGGGACAATTTTGAGGAAGAACAGCTATTCTCATGGATAATTACATGAACTGTAATGAAGTATAACATAAATGAGGAAGGTTTCTTATCTCACTGAATGATATAAAAATTGCTTCCATGTTTAGTTTGAAGGAACTACCTGGTTTTAGCCTGAAATACTTGCAGAAACTGCCTTGGCATAGAGTTATGTTTTCCAGATCTGTAGACCAGGGCCTTGCTAATTCTTTCCCCCAGACACCCTCTGGACACGGTTTACAGCTGTAAACTTCAGTCACATCCTAGCTAGAACTCAGTTCTGGGGTTGCAAAGACCAGAACAAAGTTACCCTGTGCTTTGAGTTGTTTCTGGATTTGAGGCTTCAGGCCAGAGCCACTGCACAGCTGGAACTATCCCTACCTGGTAGACATGTGCGATGAGTTGATCTCTGCTTCCACACTCGAGCTGGCAGAGGGGGCATTGTGACAGTCCCAGTATGGGCTCAGTGTTCACACTCTCAGGCACCTAGGGGCAGGAACAGCCACTCCGTGTAAGGCACACAGACCCCCCCCCAGCACACTGACCTTCCTTGGCTCCTCCCAGTCCTGCCAGGGCTGGTTTGGGTACATGATATTTGAAAGAAACCTTCATGTAGCCTCTGAGCAAAACCCCTGCATCTCACAGAGAGGGGGCAGAAGCCTCACAGCCTCACTTGCACCCAAGTTCTTGCCAGCACAGTGACTCTAGAAGGCAGGGCCTTTTCTGTGGCAAGGGGAAGCCAATCGGAGATTGCACCAGAACCAAGGGAAGGGGATGCACTCTGCAAGCATCTTGGCCAGTTTGTGCCTGCTATCTCCTGCTCCAGGCAGCCAAAAAGCTCTTCATACCCTTTCTCTCCTGCCAGGAGACATTGTTTGGAGGAGGTGGGAGGGAGAGAAAGATAAAGAAACATGATGGGGA